TTTTTTTTGTTTACTAGATATTTACAGATATGTCTCTAGTTAAATTATTGACCTTTCTGCACTGTGAAGGGAATAGGGAGCTTAGTGGAGATCCTCTTTATGTTGAGTGATGTTTGAAAGAAAGAAGAATGAAGGAAATGTGTGTGAAGAGCAGTTTGTATTATTTATATTGAAATGTAAAAGACACACCTAAAACTTTTTGATATAGAATTATATTCAATACATCTTTATTTGCACCCAGATGGAAATAGAGACAATGGATTTGCGGAGAGATGCATTTTTACAGTGCTTTGACCTATCAACATTAAATAAACAAAGTCTACAGCAACAGAATTACAAGTTTAAGAAGTATAAAATGGAATATTGAATTCTAACCAAATATACATGCACCATATATTGGAAGCATAATTAAGAACAAATACAGCATACAGCACAAGCTACATGTAATTACGCAAGTGTCGAAGCTTTAACTCTGTTCTTTATTGATAAAATCAAATGTAAACCCTACAAGAAAGTTTCCTTGCACCCGAATGTAGTACATGTACTTCTTGTTGTGGAAATAAGTGTTAAACAAGATCGATGCGGTAGGACTCTTTCCGCTTAGATGATGCGGAAGTGAACGTTGCCATGTTATACATGTAAAATAAAGCTGGTACAGTACATTTGAAATATATCGATCTGGAGCTAAGGACGTAAAGGCAGCGCTTTTTGGGTGAAAACTAGTATCGATTTGAAACGGATTCCCCATCACCTGAACAGCCATCAACATCATTTTAACGTCCTTTTAATCACAACGATGAGCAGGGCCTAATAGTATCTGTCTTTTTTTAATAGAATATCGGAATAAGGGGCTCTGATTTTCAAGCTAAAAAAATGAAACTTGACGCCGGCATTAGATAAATCACATGTAGTTCACACACTAGTCACCGAGTGTGCCAATTTTCCTGATAATATCTAACCGTATTTAGGCCTATACGCTTTTGTTACGGAGTTATGTCATAAACCGAACGCTATTTAACAAAGCAGAGAAATTGACAATTGTTGCTTGGCCATCCTATATGCAGAAGTACCTGGGTGGCGAATTAAGCAACGAAAAAAGGAATTTGTGCTCTAAATGTGTTAATTTGTATTGCAGTGATATTAAGATAAGTATTTCACGAACGGGGTTAAAAAAAACTTCTGCCGAATTTATACCTTCATAATGTTTTGATAACCTTTTAAAGCGTTGTTGATGCTTGTTCTGGCGAGGTAGAACTGTTTGATATCGATATTACTAATTTACCATAAAAACGCTGCTGTTACGTCATCAACTCGAGCATGGAAATTCAACCCAATGCCTTACAGAATAAAACGTCATGGAAATATCTCATGCTTTGACGAAGTTAATTAATGCATTATCTAAACGGATGAGGCGATAAATCCTAATGTACAGTAAACTGTATCGACTCCATTAGGAATCGGTAAATTTTGATTCCCTGCAGTGGATAATTTTGACTATCTCGAAGGTGCGACGCACACATTGAAATAAAGGACAACAAACCACGTGTTGTATATGCAAAACTCTGTTCTAAAGCACGTGGACGCCGCCCGAGATCTCAAGAACGATTCTTAGTCGCATGTGATAGGCCACAAAAAAGTAATAATGACCATTAGGTCGAGAGTGTTTTTATGAGTCTGGGTAGAAAAAGATGTGTATTTTTTACACCAAGAGGTTCATGATATCACATATGACTGTAAATTTGTATATCAACAAGATAACAATGACTGGCGTCATCTTAGACCCCATTCCCATAGATTTTAGATCGATCTATCCCTGTGTGTAGTCTCACTAGATTACTGTCAGCTTAGCCGGCTTAAGCGTCTGTCCCGCCTACTGAAAGCCGTAAGGGGGTATTTACTATGGTGCGCGCTCGGCTGACTGCGATTTAGCGTAAACCCCCAGGGAGTTAGGTCGATCTAAATTTTAATCTCTGGATCGATCTAAATCTCTGGGAATGCACCCTTTATTTGACCTCTTTCCCACTTAGGGCCAAGAAGGTCAAGGCCAGTGTTCACTCCAGATTGCATGTATTCGTCTTCGTCAACGAATGTCAATTTTGCCAATATGAACTGCATTGCTATTTATCTAAGTAATTACTGAAATGATTGAAAATGTGTGTTCCTCTTTGTTGATTGAAATAACGTTCGATAATGCACTTCAGCTAGAAAATTTACTCAAGGTTTAACTTCCCGGAAACGCACGTTTTGAAAATCATTGATTAACAAGTGACAGTGTGTCAATACGCATCCCGAACTAATGGCTAGTATTCTTAGTAAGTAACCAAAGCACAAACCGTTTGCAAATGGAAATTGTGCACACCAAAATTCAGCACATGTGCAAGTATGAATAAATAGGCACTTCTTCACTTCTTACTTCTCTCATTTGACAACGAAACGCAACTACAAAAATTTCTCAATTACAGATGAAAAACACTTCGTCCCTGAAACGTAATTTTTGTATTGTGCGCCAGAAGGATACTACAGAGGTTTTTTTTTTTTTTTTTTTTTTTTTTTTTTTTTTGAGAAAATTTATTATGCTAGATAAACCAAAGTAATATGGCATTGTATAACAGGATGTAATATTTGAGGAGTTAAAATTTTACGATTAAACTAAAGAGTTTGTTCTTTACTCATATGGCATGATCCAAGTCTAAAATATTCCAGGTATAGATTTTTTTAATACACAGGGAGAAGAGTTAATCGAAGTTCGGGATAGCATACACGCTCTTTTGTCGTGACTTCCGAGGTAATTGTTCATGCCATCGACTGCCGGAAAAACAGTCATCCACATTTAAGTTAGAAATTCTTTAAAAATCCAATTTCCACTGTATGGATTAGAGAACGCACGTGACCAATCGTAGGCCTAAAGTTGGTTATTCGTGGCGTGGTTGCTTTACGTATACTCTGCATTGGAGAAGAATAGCCAAAGTTCAAATCGCCCACGAAAACTGGTTCCAACAGCCGCTTTTTATCCAGTGGAGTTATCAGTTAAAACACTTTTTGGCTTCACCAGTTTTTGTTTTTTTTAAGACGTTGTTTTTATTAATAACTCCATATTCAAGTAAAGATGACTGTCTTACTTGCTTTTGGAATTGCCATCGTTGCGTTGCCACCAGCAGCAGCCGAAGTCATCAACACGTGCCAAGCTTTGCCGTCTCCGACACACATGGACGTGAAGCAAGTGTCTTCAAACTACGATGTCACTACCGTCCTTGCCACGACGGAAGCACGCAGCAACATAGAGTGTATCATCATGTGTAAAATCTCACCAGATTGTATCTCTGTATTCTACAACAGTCAAACTGGGATTTGTTCATTGTTGGATGAAATACAGTACTCGCCAGCGCTCGGGAATGCGGTTTCAATGGCTGGAGGCATGCTAACCAATGTTGTTCCGAGGGCTGTAAGTATATATCAAGACGACTTTTTATTTTTATGTATATTCAAATACGTGTGTCAAACCGTTGAGAGAGAGAGAGAGAGAGAGAGAGGGAGGGGGGGGAGGAGGAGAGAGAGAGAGAGAGAGGGGGGAGGAGGAAGAGAGGGAGAGAGAGGTTAAAGAAGTTGTGGTGCTCATGTATGTACTACGCACGCGCTTTCCTCTGAAACATCATTTGAAAACATGATTATCTTTAATCATATAGATTATATATATACTCAGTTTCTTGTTCATAGTACGAATACTTTATTATTTGACAGACTGATCTTGATCTCGAGAGTAATCTGACAGTTTGTAATGGCTCCCCGTGCCTCGTTTCTGGTAGATGTAGAGAAGACTGTGATCTTAATGAACCTTTTTGTCTGGGTAAGTGTTTCTTTATTTTTATCATCATTATTATTTTTACACTAGACTGTTATGTTTTACGGCTTTTTCCACACGAGTCTCGAGATACAGGCATAATCGATGCTAAAGCACTTTACAGAGACGTATACCCTTTATACAAGATGCGGTTGTCTGTCATATCTCTTTTCTGATCGCAGACAGAGTTTTGTGTCTCAGATTTGTCCCCGCATAAAGCGCCACCATACCAGTGCGTTGCATCCACAAGGTAACGCAGCCTGTGAGAAAAAACTCAATAATTGCGCAAACTCTGAGAGCATATTGCGACACAAATCCAACTGCTTGGCCTGATATTCTTCCAGGCGTTATGATGGCATTACGTGTGACCCCTTGTCCTCAATCCACAAAGTTTTCTCCTTATCATTCAATTTTGGAATTTTGGACTAGAAATGTGTACATCATTAGATAGTTATTAGGCCTATATCCCTGAACTCAATGATAACAAATACTAACATCAGTACACTGAGGAATTGAAAGATACATTGGAAGCAGCGAAAGAAATGACAACGAAGAATGGAGAGGCAGCTCTGAAACATTAGATAGCAAGATTTAAATCAAAGCAACCCATTTATAAAATAGTCGGTAGAGTTTAGATATAAACACCAGTTACACCCAAAGGATTAAGTTCTAAGATGAGCATCAAGTAAAAAGTACCGTATTATATTACGAAAACATTACCAACAGGTTGCACATAATATTTGAGAGATTGTAAGACACACAGAGAACAAAATCACCTGTTCATGCGTACAGGCGTAAAATCTAATACTTAAATTCTATTCGATTTGTTAAGCAGATTTTTATTTGTTTTGTGTTTATTTTTGTAATGATAGAGTAAATCCATCCATGTAAACTCTGGGTTTCCTTGCATTTTCAACACCCTCTCACATATTTCATCTACGGCAACTAGCATCACTCTCCTTTTAAAATTTGCCAATAAAGATATAGTCACTCTATTGATCGAGCATCGATGAAGACATTAATTGTCAGTTCTTTTTTGTGTGTGAAAGAAGTGACAAAAACGACAAAGAATCTCTCAAAGGGCTAACAGGAAGTTTCTTGTATCTACCGCCATATTGATAATAGTTCTGGGTTGAGAGCTTGCATGTTTAAATTTACAGATGAAAGTTGGCAAAATACTTTGTACTTTTTGATACGGTACTCGTGGCCACTGATTTTAAGCTCGTGCCGTAAAATCGTGATTGGAGTTGTTAATTTTGGAGTTCGTGAGCACAAACCTGAGGTTCGTTATCGCAAACGACAATTATCATTTATGAGGCCTGATAGGATTTACCTTGGAGGCTCAGGGTTTGTAAAATTCCCCATATAATGCAATGTAATAAAAGTGACTTTTTCAATATGCTTCCTCGGAGCACATTGCTCCAAACTTCTTTAAATTCTTTACTTATACCACCTCTGGATTAAGAACGGTGCTTTTTTAATTATACAGGGCCTCAAAAAGTAAAGTAAGATGACAGTTAAAATTAAGACAATGTGACGCTCTGAAATCATATAATCAAAGTTGAAGTCATATTTATATAAATTGTTAAATATGACTTTTTAGTTTGGCTATACCTTTGGTCCGAATACCTAGTTTAAACTTAAAATATGATTATATTCCAGACGGTTTGTTTATATAGACAAAGGAAAAGTATAAAATTCTACGTCCTTGTCTTTTTGAAATTGGTCATTAGTTCATACAAACGATGTACTAAATTTGTACATTAATCAATTAATATCTCAGACATGCAAACACCGTGTCGTATTTGACCCTTGTGTGTAATTTGTTTTAATTCAATGACAGCGTATTTCCATTACCACCGGATATTGGCTTCAGTACTTCGAGAGGCTTTTCATGGCGGATTTGGATCGAACCATTCAGAAAAGTTCGTACGTACCGTAATCTGAGAAGGACACTATATCATGATGGAATTGTGAAAAATGGTGAAGGGGCTGCCAGATGTAGTTGCTTTGTTGGAGAGACGGAAATTTTCGGACTCGGACAAAGGTTCCAACTGGACTAGAGTGGACCAAAATGGTTTACAATGGACATCAATGTTTACACGCTTGGCATTCAACGACGTGTTTTGTCTCACTAATTGTATGTTTTTTCATGACTTATTTCTAAAGTCTTTACGTCAATAAACGCTATTACACCTTGTTTCGATTTGCACTCAGCATCGTAGGAAGCAATCAAATACAATAAATTCTGTTTTTGTCCGAAAAAGCGACGCACCAAATCGATACAACGAGCCATTAGCCTAGGCTGTTAGACAACGTACATTTCTGTCTAGTTAAAAGCTTGGCCTACCTATGCAAATGAGCTCAACGATAAATGTCTTTTGTTGCAATTCAGCCGTTCAGTAAAATTATGAATATTAGTATGTGAATTTAATTAACTGGTATTGTTTTCAAGACTATAGGATAAAAACTGAATCGCTATTTTCTTTTTTTTATTTTGGCCATGGTTTAAGGAGGCCAATTAGTAAAATCTTTGGAAACGTTTCTTTAAACAAAACACATCTTGTTAGTGTTAATCCATGTATATTTTGAAGACATTATTTATTTTACGTTAAAGCGACAATTTCATCATGATCTGTATATATAATAACTAATTTAGTATTGTGCATTTATGATTGAAATTGATTTTAAAATGATTGAAGTATTGTGTCATTTGAGAAATAACATTATGCTTGTATCGATTACTATATGGAGTTATATCCGACATTGATATTCTATTACTGACTCGAGGGGGTCATTATCACGTTACATGTCAGTGATCGCACTCTGCAAATAAGTGAAGAAATTGAAGACAGCAAACACACGGCACATACTTAAACTCATCCATTCAATTGGTTTAACAACTGGCAAAAACTTCTTATAGCACATTGTATGAACAAGATGAGCAAAACAATTTAACAAGCTTTTTAAATTTGACCATATGATCTTCCTATTTTTCGTCAATTAATTAACACCTTTCACTTTGCATGCCGACCAAACGTGACCGTACAGTTAGAGTTATGACGTAGGCTACATTGAAATGTAGTTATTTGATTCTTCACCGAAAAGTTATGGAATACAACATTTGGAAAACATCTGGGTCTGTATCTTCATATTAGTCCACTTATTCTAGGAGAATCAACTGACTGTGATGAGACGCCAATGTTCAATATTCAGCAGTGGTCAGGTACTTCCGTACACGCTCACGACACTGGGGTCGTCGTCGTAAGCATCTTTCAGCATATCTACTTTTGTTACATGTGCTGTTTTTAATACTTTTGTGCCTAAATTTTATTAAATTCTATAAATATATGGTTTAATTGAAAATCGTAAAGGTAAAAAGCAAAACAAATAATTGTGCTTCTCTTTATTCCATGAATTTGTTTGCCAATTTTGCTGACGTTTATTATTATTATTATTTTTCATTTTTATTTATTTATTTATTTTTTGTCGCATCAATATAGAGCACTACTTACACCAAGACAAAAGACGCCAGCGGCTTGTATCTGCTCTGGAGTGGGACGCTGAGAGCTGCTTACAACTGTGCAGGGTGCTGTGCGTCTTGGACCTTCACAATAGATGGCGCTGAGTGTTCAAACCCTTCCCCCATTGACTATGCAGAGTACCACGCAAGCAGAAAAGATTATCACCACCATGTGGAGTGTGAGTTAGTTAATTAGCCGGCTTAAATGTCTGTCCCGCCTACTAAAGGCTGTAAGGGGGGTTATTAACTTCCGTGCGCGCTCGACTGACAGCAATATAGCATGAACCCCCAGGGAGTTAGGTTGATCCAGATGGATCGATCTAAATCTGTGGGAATGCAGTCTTAGAGGCACCCGGGCCCCTATCTCGAAAGCATCGGGCATTGCGACCGTGAGCAAGCGTCTCGATTCCATAAGTCGCCCATACTCGTCCCATATACAAATGTAACACATTGTAGCCTCTATTTGATATAGCTATTCGCAATACGCGATGCTTTCGAGATACGGGGCCCAGGACACCAATCTGAGGAAGACCACTGACGTCATAAAGTCTGGTTATTTTCCCCATGAAAGCTCACGTCTCGTGCACATATTGCAGCTGCTAGAAAACTGAAAAAAATTCTACACCTGTCATCGATTTTCCTTCTAATGTCATACATGTTAATATTTGTTATCTCTGGTTGATAGAAATCGGTTTGCCTTCTCATTATTTTTGGCTGTAGGCTACTTTTTATTAACTTGAATGTCTATATTACATTTGATCGTTTGTCCAAAAAAAAAAAAAAACCTTGACTTTGAGATTTGATAAAAAACAGCTAACTTACATAGGCCGATGGTTGAACAGAGATTTTACCTTAATTTCTCTTTGTTCCAGTTTTTGGAATCTGTTACGGGATAAGTACGGGGACGAGAACTATTGCCCTAAAATACAAAGACTGCGATGGAACAGTTCGCGACAGTTACGTGGGTTGGCAGGCCAGGTGGCGTTTTATAATGGCAGAAGTGGCGGAAACCACGGGATCGGGTATACTAATGATTTTTCACACGTAAAACACATTTTTAAGATAAATCCATGTTCCTGGTAGGCCACCTTCATCTTATTCTTTGTTATAGTATATGAATGAAAATATTACAAATAAAAAACATAAAAGTTGAGTGACTTTGCAAATTTTTAAACGATCAAGCGAAAGCAATTTGCTCTGGACCTGTCTGGAAGAAATAACAATTAAGTAATTAATTGATGAAGTTACCCTCATAGGTACATAACCCTCAAAGATAATTTATTAAAAGAACAGGTTTATGCATGTAGCATAATGGTATGAGGAGCAAAAATGATTATGTGTCATAGCTATATGTAACACCATCTTCCATGGAGGATTTGCGCAAGAGGAACAGTATGAGATAACTTTCAATTATATTTATCGAATGTTTTTGTTGAATCTTTCAGCCACATGTGAGTCTCAAACAGCCTTCAATATTCAACAGTTTGCTGCACTTTCCCACACGTACACAACAAATGAAAATATACATTCGGTAAGTTAGCAAATGTTTTAACGGTCTTTGACCTACGCGACGAAGTCCTATTTTTGTTAAGTGTGTAGTCCGCGGATCATCTGCTCTGAAAACGCCCTTAGTTCAAAGTTTTTCTATTGCGGTTACTTTCTCGTGCGTTTATCTTATATACATGTACCAACAATCATTATTGCCTGACTATTTTATACCTTTTTAGACGTCGCATTATGTAAAACGGGCAGCTGACACCGCTTTGCGAGTTCGCTGGAGTGGTAATTTGTACGGGGAAGGCAACCAGAAATGCAGTCGATGGTATTTCAAATTTAACGGCGTGGAATGCTCCAACCCTGGGTCCCTAGAGTGGGTGTTCTATGTTAACGGTGGTCACGTGCCTCAGGTGAAACGAGGCTTTGCGTGTAAGTTAAAGTATTGGGATGTTCCAATACAGAGATCAGAGTCAAGTATGTATTGTGGTTAATTGTGATACTAAACAGATAACGTGACTCTGATGTTTATTTAGCAGGAAATTTATGTTTTAACACTCGTATTTACGATTTTTGATATATATAAGCTGTGCCCTCAAAAAGTGTAAAATGACGGTCTGTTTGCGCATCCATTGTGATACGGGAGATCTAATTTTTATCTTGCCTTTCACGTTCGGGAAAACTGATTGGCCTTACAGCTAGCAGTGTCAAAAATGAGCACATCTTTCATATCAGAAATCATTAATAGGAGTACTAACGCATGAATTTAATTTATTCATTATGTTTAGGTATATTGTACATGTATTATTTGATGTCTATTACCAAGATAGAATATTTTGGTATAAAACTTTTTAACACGTACCAATATTCTATAAGTATGGAAAAGTAACCTTCAGATTAGTCAGTATCACTTGTGATGATAAACATAATGTCATAATGTAATATTTACATATATAAGAAGGCAAATGTTTTAAATCTGTACAATCGATGCTATACATGTTCATGTTTGTGTGAGGTTACAAAACATCAGATAACCATGATATCTAACGGCCATGTGTGGATGATTTCAGTTAATGGGATATGTGAAGGTATTGGTTCTGGAGCCATTGTGATAACGCTGCATGTTGGAAACTGTACAAGCTCTGGTTACCCGCCCTACGATGCAGAGACAGGTAACGGTCATGTGTTTATTTTTTATAATTAATGAGTACTTAAGTTTAGCTTAGTGAGAGAAATAACTGTTTATTATCCTTCAATGAGCAAATTACTTGTACGTGTATCTAAAATACGTTTGAGATATAAGGAATGTTTTCTGAAATAACTTTTTCCTAATTTTCAATGAATTTATATATTGATGGTATGATTATGCCGAATATACATGGGAGAGAGAGGGGGGATGAGCAGGTTTCACCTTCCCATGGAGTCGGTATGATTACGTTAGTTACGAAAGAAACCCTCAAATGTGCATAGATTGTCCACATATTAAATGTCTTCAGTGAGTCCATCGTTCGCTCTTGGCGCGCGCACACACACACAGGTTTTTATACGGAATTTTTATTTCGTAGGGTGGAAAACCACAACTCACCTTATAGTGGAAGAGACTAGACTTGGACAAGATATCAGTGCAGGTTGGAATCGATAATAAGATAATTTTACTGAATTATTTTATAAGATATCCATCAGTTTTTAGGACTGGTATTTGGTTAGTCCGTATTTTTAATTCAAATAAATTCTGTAGATTGGTTTTAAATTTAAATCATTCGATCAGCATTTTCCATTTGAAAAGGATATGTGCATTTTTACATATTAGGGCTGTGTGACATATCTTTGTTATCTATTGAAGAAACAGATTTGTATTCAACTATACTATCAATTATGGCGGACGAGTATTAACTCTGAATACACAGTTATATATTGATTTTAGAAGATAGACCATGCTAATGAGTTGTATTTTTTTCAAACCACTTGATATGAAATAAGAATTTTCTTCTGCTTTGTTTCCATGCTCTTTGTTAATCATCATGTTTGTGTTCCAGTTCTTGCCGCCAATGGGACCACCATCCGCCTGCCGTTCTACAACCGCGTGCAAGGCTATTGGTATGATATATTCAGCGATGCTGATTCAGGCACTATTCAGGTATGTGAGGCTCGGAGCCTGGTTTCTGGAGATATTTCCTCACAGTTAAATGTTTATTTTTATAATAGGTCAGATGATAACTTAATATACTCTTAAATTTACTCTTTCGTCCATAACTATCGATACACGTGAAATGGTGACCCAGCCCCCCTTAAAGGTACATACAAACCGAGCATCGGTGGAGCGTGGATTCCCAGTAACACATGTAAACCACTTCTACTGGATTCTTATATGACTCAAATAAATTTGACATGCCAAGGGATTAACTGAATAGATCACTCGATCAGCCATAAAAGACCTTTAGACTGCTCCTTTCTTTAAATTTTTGGTTGTAAATTAAACCTACTTTCGTGACCTACTTTCCTGCCCCATTGACATACAGCTTAGAATGCCAGCAGAAAAATCCGTTCAAACATCATTTTCGGGTAAAATTAAACAATGCCTTTTGGTAATTCTCTTAGTTATATTACTTGAAACTATATGCTGGCATTTGGTTGGTTTTTGTGACAAAAAATTGACTTTATATGCATCTTTAACAGATTTTTAATTTTTAATAGTCAAAAATGTTTAAATTTATATACAACGGAACACTGGAAGCAAATATTTCAGAACCGACTTAGCTTCTATTGCTGTCACCTTTTTATAGCTCTTGTAGAAAATACTGGAAAGCAAACCATTGTCTTTAAGGGCTCAATACCAATAGAAACTATCGCTGTACGTGGATCGACCCAAGTCTACGGGGATTTTCTTTGAAAACAAATGGTGATTATACGAGTGCATTGGAAACAAAAGGAGGTACGTCATTCAGTTATGCTGATTGCACTTAGGGAGAGTCCCCGCAGAGGGTCGATCCAAGGACACCGATGGCGTGTCTGTGGGAATCGGGTCGTATTCAAATGAAAATAAAGGATAACGTGTGATGTATATCTGTGGTCATTGCAGTCAATCACTTACAACAAGAAGTCGAGCACCAGTGGAATCCACGTCATTTGGAGCGTCAACGTCCGGATTGCTGGTAACGCGAAATGTGCCAGATGGTCCGTTACATTTAACGGGGCACAGTGCTCTAATCCCGGAAGTATTGAGCACGTGATGTATCTAAATGACGTCCAGAATGCAGCAGCTTCGTATTGGCATCTTCCTGGTATTGGTAAGAAGATAAAACTGGGTTCCCATGCCTAGATCGATATGACAGGATCGATCCATCTCCAAGGGGTTTATCGCTAAATTGCTTTCAGCTTAAACGGCTTAGATGTCTGGCACGCTTACTGGAGCTTCTAAACGATGATTAATTAATCACTAGCAGCTTCAGTAGGCGTGACATATATCTAAGCTGCTTACGTTTATTGCAATTTAACGAGAATCCCCTTGACGATAGATCGATCCACAGTTAGTAGGGTCTGGGAATGCTCCCTAAGTAATAGCAGCATGTTCATGATAGTATGTGCTAGCTGACTAATGTATTATTTATGTACTAGCTGACTAACGCAATATTTAATTGCTAGCTGACTAATATGTGCTAGCTGACTAACGTATTATTTATGTGCTAGCTGGCCAACGTATTATTTATATGGTGGTCAATGTTAAAGAGGATGGTGGGGAGCTACAAGGACAAAAATTATCTTTTTGATCGGCAGTGGGTGAGGGCAACTTAACTGTAAATACCTGTGTTTAGGCTACAGGATAGGCAATTTTCAAACTTGGATTTGCCTTGTTTCAATGTCTTCGTTATTTAGATATCAGAAGATGATATGTCAGAATCTAAAGAGAACAGGTGTCCTCCATGAGTCCACCATTTCTAGTGCATAGTAGGCCTAATTGTTAGTCTGGATTCGATGACATGACAACAATATATTGTACATAGAACCATGCCTACATAAAGTTGGGGCTATTTTATCGTTATTTTCAACAGCAAAAAATGTTAATCTCCTTCATAGATTTTCTCTAAGCTACTGGGTTTGACATTTCACCGGCTGCAAATTAATATGCATACGCTATTCACTGTGGAAGTAATGACGTATTTTACTTCCAGTCGATGGCATTTGTCTTGGAGTCGGGCGCGGTGACGTCACCATTGCTTTGTTAGTCGGAACGTGCCCTTCACATCATGGGTCCAATGCATTTACCGGTTGGCGGTCTGGGACCTTCCTAATGGTGGAAGAGGTGTTTCTTGGAGTCTAACAGTGTGCCATAATCTAAGAAGTGGTACTTCCAGACCTCTGATTTGTCCAATCCGTGGGCACCTGGAAGTGCTTTATTTGCTGTGACATGGAGATGTAAAGAACGCTTGACACACGGTGTTAAAAGATTTGTAATATAAGCATTCTTTGTGCGTTGATTATTTTCCAAAATTACCTTGGTGTGTTAATTGTTCCCAGCTATAATGTAATTAGTGTATTAGTAAAAACTAGTGTATTTGGGATAGTAAATGAGGTCCGATGTAACACACCAGGGTCAACAAAATAGCTCTGTTACTTCCAGAACAATTGCGTCGACACAATTGCCCTTTCACATCTAGCGCAATGCATGTTGTCAACACAATTGCTTTGTCACGTCTAGCAAAATTGCGTCAACACAGAATGCTCTGTCACATCCAGATTGCTTTGTAACATCAACAGCTGAGAAATAATTTTAAACTGTTTGCTCTTAAAACAGTTTAATTAATAAATTGTGTACCAGTTACTATAGATTATGTTTGCCGTGGTACATTATTGTAACATCAGTCATTTAAATTAATTTATCCTAATTAAATCAAAGATTCGTACTATTCACTACATAAAAACTATTTGGACAAAAACAATATCAAATAACAATATGGCGTATATATTGTGGTTTTATATAATGCATTTTAAAGTTGTTCAAAATCAGGGATGGTAATCATAATGTTATAACGGAGCATCGAGGAATTTCTTGTTTGAATGGCACAAACAAAAACCTTTAAAACTATCCAATGGTGTTTATAATTGTATCCACGAGTTTAGCATTAAACTCATATACATGAACATGCACTTTGTCTATTCTGTATGAGACGGTTGTTTGGTCAGATCAAAGTATACCGAGACAACCGCGCAAAAAAGTTAATTAACGTATGATCGATTATTCCATTGCCCTCTTCGCCTGGAAACGAACTTTTTTTACCAGTGTCAGTTCAGAGAAATTTTTGTCTGTAGAAAGTCAGGGACGATAAGTGCTATGTGGTTCAGTTAAAGTATCCAGCAGTATAACGATTGATAGATCAATCCAACATTGTTTGAACAACATTATCATATCCATGATACCGCAATGGTGCATATTGACAAATATGTGCGTCGCGTCTGACGTGTAAACTGACTTTCCGGAGGTAGATTCTGTCGAGAAGATAGCAATTGACAGTGGCATTCTCCATTCTGCATTAAGCCTAAAGCCAAATTCAATGCTAAGATCAAGACTTTATTTTATTGTGTACAATATCTAGAATGCACACATCCGTCTTCCTCAATGCACGTCAATTCTACCAATAAAACAATCTTCGTCTTGTTTTTTGTTTCATTATTTCTGAAAGTTTCGAATTTTAAAAAGTCTTTATTAACTTGAAAAGCATGATCGATGAAGCAATTCAGGTAGAAACTTAACTTAAAGTTAACTTAAGCTTTCGTGAAATCATTTATTGTCTTTTGAGGATGTCAGTCCACATGCTGTACTAGTATGCATTGATTCTAAGGTGTAAAAAGCAGAAACTGTTCCCATTCTTGGAAATTGAAGGTTAGAAATCTGCACACGAGACAAATAAAACAAAACATCACCAACACAAAGGAATAGGTTCTTATTCCAATTTGTGTATTTCTCCTCTTATTGAAGAGAGACGATGTACCGATCCATTTTGGTAGCTTTTGACAAATCCAAAAATAACACCTGAAATTTGTATTGAGTCCACAACTGTGACTGAAAAGGGATATAATTCAACATTTTTAGAAAATTTATAATGGAAAGTTAATACATCTGTGTATGCAGTAATGGAGTGCATTAAGTAGCTTCAAATGCTTTTGCTACTTTATATCTAAAAAACATTAAGGTTAGCTCCAAATTATGCCTGAACTTTGAAATAATTCAATGTTTTCAGACAATTTTAGACAAAAGTGTAATGTTTGAACAACTGGCGGCCATTTTGGACTTGTCAAAACGTACCAAAAATGTTTTCAAACAGTAAAGGTTTCTTATAAACAAATCGTTAGTGCATGATTGGGCTGAAATACTGGTATTATCCAGGGCCCGGGACGTGAAAAAGGGTGTGCAATTCTATTCAATTTGGCGCCATCTTGGATATTTATTGTTGCCAAGGTTGCCAAAGTGGAACTCTAGCTAAATTTACGTTTAGGCCCCATGGGACTCCGAATGAAAAAAAATTCATAGGAACAAAATTGCAAGGTTCCCCATATTTCACCTCGACAAATAATTCTGTTAAAATTATGATCTTACAAGTATCTGTGCAAGCGTTACAAGTAACCAAGTGTTACTGGCCCCAGACATACCTGTTGAAGGGTAAAATTAGCGTGAAGAATTTTCTGTTTTCATGTGCAAGTCGAAACGTGTTTTTTACTCGGTATGCGATAATCTAATTTTAATCATACCGTGTCATGGTAACTGAACCAATAGGAGAAAAGCTCACTGGTGGATCAATGTACCACACGTCATCGACCGCCGGAAACACTCTAGGCAAAATCACGTATGCGCCAGGTTCTATAAAAACAGGTTTTTCACTTTAAGTTTCAAAGGACGAAATTGAATTTTTGCGTATCGTTGGTTTTTCTTTAAGAAAAATATGCACTAGAAACAAACTGACAGAGCCAACGAAAACGGGTTATAAATATTAACAACGCTGGCTTCCCTCTGGAATATAGATATAATTTTGTGAATCTTTACAATTCTACTCTTTGAACACGTTGTTTATCGTACCATAGAAAGATGACTATCTTACTTGCTTTTGGAATCGCCTTTGTTGCATTACCGCAAGCAGCAACTGAAGTTATCAACACGTGCCAAGCTCTGCCGTCTCCGACACACATGGACGTGAAGCAAGTGTCTTCAGACTACGATGTCACTACCGTTCTTGCCACGACGAAAGCACGCAGCAACATAGAGTGCATCATCCAGTGTAAAATGTCACCAGATTGTATCTCTGTATTCTACAACAGTCATTCCAAAATTTGTTTAATGTTTAATGAAATAACTTATTCTCCTGCGCTTGGGAATACGGATTCTATCTCAGTAGGATGGGTAACCAATGTTGTTCCAAGGGCTGTAAGTAGGTTTTCTATAATTTTATCTCTGTGAGTGTTAGTCAAGAGAGAGAGAGATATGTAAACAAGAATTTAACGCACATGCAAAATGTATGCATTAAACATTTCTATTTAGGCAACAATCATTCCTTAATTGGAACCTTAAATAATAGTTATATGAATACATTTTTGACAGACAGACTTTGACCTTGAGGAAACTCTGGCAGTTTGTAATGGCTCCCCGTGCCTCGTTCCTGGCCGATGTAGAGAAGACTGTGATCTTAACGAACCTTTTTGTCTGGGTGAGTGTTCATTTACTCTTTTATCTATTTCGTTTAGATGGTCATATTGCACCTAAATAATAGACGCTTTTATCAACTACAGACTAACATGTGACCAATTTCTTAATAAAACAAATATGCAGTATTGTATGATAGTTTGAAATGGGGGCAATGGAGTCAGTGTCGAGTTTCGTTTTGCTTTAGTGAAACTAGAAACTAATGTGTTTTTTACAAAACCGATTCTGGCAACCAGAAAGTAACGTCCTTTGTCAAACTTATGTTGGGAACTACAATCTACTGACACTCAGAATCAAATCCGGCAGCCTAAAGCCAGTGTCATATTTTCAACAACTGGCAATCAGAAACTAGCGTCCCCTTTTCTATAATAATTCTGGCAGTAGCGGAAATAGGTCGAGGTCATCGGCAAGGCGAATGATATGGCCACAACGATAAATGATATGGCCATAAAACGAAACCAGACACTTTAGACTCTAGAAACTTATTGATGTGATGCATTTCAGAGCTTCTGTACTTTAAAAAGTTTCACAGAAAATAGGACTTAGTACATATGTGCAATCTTTTGTTATACAAATGTACATCTTGCATAAGGTACTAAATATGTAATCGAAATGAAACTGCAAAAACTTCAAAATCTATCTGCGATATATCAAATCTATTAGCAGCATCTGCAGTATAAAAGGATGCCGTTTCACATCTGGGTGTTTGATTTTAGTTCTCAAGAATTACTTTCCAAAATTAGAGCAGTTAAGCTAAACGACGTGAGGTCAAAAATGCTTTCAGTTGCGAAAGTGATTGTAAATGACTTGGAGTGCATTCATTTATTTGATCATTTGCTCAAAAAATGTTCGTTCAAAGGCATACTATTTCCACCACCACCGGATATTGGCTTCAGTATATCAATTAACAAACTTCGCAAGCTGGATATGGATCCAACTATTAAAAATCTGTTGCACCAAGAAAATCCTTTGAACCTTTCATGCTGTGTGCAACAAAATATTTAAATAGTATTTGATAACTTTGTAATATTCTAGTTTTATGACACTTATTCAAAAACTGAGAGATGATTTCAACTTTAACCTTTTATAAATCAAATTATTTTAGGAGAATCAACGGACTGTGATGAGACGCCAATGTTCAATATTCAGCAGTGGTCAACTACCTCCGAGTACAGCCAAGAATCTGGCGTTCTCATTGTAAGCTAACGTCCCTGAAACTCTTATAGCATATCTTTATCTACGTTAAAAAACCTGGTGTTCTCGTTGTACATGTACGTTTACAACTGAGTCCATTCCTCTGTAACTCGATCATATCTATGTAATCTGCCTAAAATTATGATATGCTGACAATAATTTCCGCAAATATGTTATCATTGTAAGGTCACGCTCCTAGTACTGTTACGGCATATCTATTTTTAATCCATATTTTTAATGCCATACTTATTGATTATATTTTACCACTATATTTTTCAATTGACAAACAAGATTGCTTTGTTCAGTTAAAGGTAAACACCAAAACGAACAATTGTGCTTCTGTTTATTCCATGATTTTGTCTGCTAACATACAACGTGTTCGCCTTTTATTGTATTTAGAGCATTTCCTACAATAAGATAAAAGACACAAGCGGCTTGTATCTGCTCTGGAGTGGAGCGCTGAGAGCTGCTTACAACTGTGCAGGATGTTGTACAGCTTTGACCTTCACCATAGATGGCGCTGAGTGTTCAAACCCCTCCCCCATTGACTATGCAGAGTACCACGCTAACAGAAGAGAGCGCCATCACCATGTGGAATGTGAGCTAATTTTTGTTTTATTGATATCTACTTGGACTTGTTTTTATTTTATTTTATTTTATTTTTATTGTTCGCAGTTTAAATGTTTGAAATTGTAATATCAAACTTTAGCAACCCAGTTGATTTTCAATTTTTTTTTATTAGTTTTCGGGATCTGCTACGGGATAGGCATGGGGACTAGAACTGTTGCCTTAGAATATAAAGACTGCGATGGATCATTTCACGACAATCATGTTGGGTGGCAATCCAGGTCACGTATTATCATGGCAGAAGTGGCAGAAACCACGGGATCGGGTATACCTGATACATGTTTATGATTTGTACTGATACCTGTAAAATTAGCTTTTTATAGTGAAACAGCAGCTTATTGAACTTTAATCTCCAGTGATAAGTAATGGCAAATATCTTGATATATTTATCTTGTTTATATGGGGGCAATTCTTTTGACACGATACTGTGAAGTCATTTTCGAAGATATTTAAACATTATGATAGATTTATAAAGTAAAATTCTCGTTGTCTACCCGCGTGAATATATTTCTTCATACAAATAACACCATGCAATTCCATTGAATCTTTCAGCCACGTGTGCGTCTCAA